ACTCTTACGGTATGCTAAAAAAGTTAAAATTTCCTCTTCAAATTGATCCCTTGACTTATACATACGAATTGTGGGCAATTAACTTCGGCGGAGTAAAATATGATGTGGACGGATATGTTCAGGAAGTAGAATATATAAGACTTATGTATCCCGTTGACGAATCGAATTTCTCTAAAAGACACTGGATTCGTGAATGGCGAAAAGCGTTTTTGCGGAATGTCAACAAATTGGATTTTCATTCGATCGAGATATATCCGTGTCCTTTCTTGGTTTCTGAATTAGATGTGAAAAACCTTGCTGATGAAATTACACCGTTGATGAGTGTCGCTGTTATTGTTGTAACAATTTTCTGTGCAATGTCGTATACGACAAACAGTTGGGTAAAGAGTAAACCTTGGATGGGAATTGCTGCAGTTGTGTCTGCTGGATTAGCAGTGGTTTCTTCTTTCGGTTTGATGGGTGCGTGTGGTATTGAAAATGTCAACTCTAATATTCTGTTGCCGTTTCTAATTTTCGGTAAGTGAAAATCCTGAAGTGTAGACTAATAAAAAATAATTATTTGTAAAGTTTTAGAAAGAACAGTGAAAATTACGGTATAAAAAGTCTTTATAATACGGTAATTTCTTGACTTTTTTATTTACTTGGGTTGATAAAAATAATCTATAGTTTTTATAATTTATTTTTTTGAAGTTCAGCAATTTGCTTTTAATTGTTGATCACTTCGAATCACATACCTCTGTTTTGTTACTAACAAAACTTATAGATAGTTGAAAGTCAACAACAAAAAAACTTACTTACAAAAACTTATTTTAGGTTCCTGCCACTAAGTAATCAAAGAAAGGCTCGAATTTTTATTATTATTACTGTGTCTGACATTATTATCGAATACCGTCAAATACCGGTAAAAGCTACACTTTGCTATATTATTGGAAATACTTATTGCGAAAGGTAACACAATACAAAAGACAACACAACAAGCTATTTTTCACGCCAATTTCTCGAAATTGAAAACCTTTTGCTAAATGCGTGCAACATGAATGAGATAAATTTTGCAATATTTCCTTTTACTTTATAAACTTAATTTACTTTTGTTCTATTATTTAACATTTGCGCTTATACATTTGTGCTGGTTTAAATATTAGACGCTTATTCGAATCAGACAAAAATTCCAATCCCGACGCTTGTTTGATGAAAGTCAGTATTTTTTAAGATATAAAGCATTTGGTTTATTAAGACAGACAGACAGACAGACAGACAAAATAAACTTTATTATGCCCGACACCGCTAGGCACAGTCGGGATGAATATATACAGTGTGTACATAGAGGTGACATGCCGAGCAGGAAAACCGACAGTGAGCGTAAAAGAAAAGAAATCAAAATACACGTAGATATAAAATCCTGATGTCAGGAGTCATGCGGTAAATAAAAGTGAGGAAAAACGTTTATCAATGTATTAATGTTCTGTTAAAGTAAAGCTTGACCATCCTTTGAAAAAGGGAAAAGTACTTTTTACTCGACACTAAAACTTCCAGCTTACACGGCCAATTGAGATTATCTTCTTCCACGTAAAGTTTGAGCTCGTTCCTTATGTCCTCCAGCAGTGGGCAAGACAAAAGATAATGCCTTACTCCATCACGCACATCGCAGTTTGGACAGCAGTCAGTTTAGCTGTGTAGAAACTGATGTAAGTATACATTGAATCTACCATGTTCTGAGAGCAGCTGTGACATCTGGTGTTGAGGGTGGACCCATTTCAAGCTGAGGCGTCTTGCTACGTCTGGGTAGAACTGCCGGGAAATGTGCTGCTCTGGGATACGCTCCCATTCTTGTTGCCACGCTATGATTGTATGCTGCCAGAGGAGCTGCTTTAACCTGGAGACCGGTAAATGGCTGTACACTGGGTTGATGTCCCTGAAGGAGGTAGCCACACGTGCGAGGAAGTCTGCACGTTCNTTAAAGGTTTTAACTTTGAAATGTTAACATATTGTTTATTCGGCTTTTTTTGAAAATAATTTATTTAATAATTTTCAAAAATGCTTGTTCTACACTTACCATTCTTTTGCGATATACGGTTTGAAAATCACTAATCTGTGAGAACTTGGAGGGTGAAAACAGTTTAAGAGTTAAAATGATTTTTAAAATTTTGTAAACAATCAAATAAATTTTGTAAATTGAAAGAAAAAGAAAATTTTATTTGTTTTCAACTTTTCCTTTGTTTCCTGTGATTCAGGAAATGTTGATTGTTCCTGCTAAAAATTAAAATTTAGCAAAGAATGACAACTTGGGAACAAGTTCGATTGGTCTACATTTTCTAAGAAAAGGTGGAATCACTCTCTATTTTTGCTTGTGAACATGGTCAACATGCTGTTTGCCATATAGGGCGTAAGACACAGCCCCTTCAGTAGTTTCTGCCTTATCTGAATATACGGACTCTCTGAAAGAAAAATGTAACAAGAAGAAATGTTCTCATGATATTCCCAGGTAGTATAAAAATTTATGAAATCTCTCTCGTTCAGTGATAGTACCCTGAAATATTTAGATAGTTGTTAGCTTCATTATAGTGAAGTCTTAGATTAGCTTAAACTTATATTGTACCGTAGGTACTATATATATGCTATGTATATGTTGTAGTTTAACCAGATTTGATACAAATAAATATAGTTAGTTTGTTCATTAAATTTGATTCGATTTCCATTTCTCTTAATCAGCACGACTCTCTGCCACTCGAGGTTATCCTTCATTTCCTCTCAGTCAGATTATTTAAATATAAAATAGATCGTTTTTTATGGCGAGTTAGAACACGATAGAAAATAATCATTTTAACTGATGTCAGGACTTGACTATAGGTGAAAGGACCTTACTGTTTTACTTAGCATTTTTAGACTTTTCACTTACTTAGAGAGATCCTACCTATATAATAGTAAGCAGAGTATAACAGATCTTGTTCTCACAGGATTATTTACATTGATTCTATCGATTCTTTTGAAATTAAGTAGTTTTTTGAGGATAGGATATCCTTTGAAAACAAGTTGTTCTCCGAAGACAAGTTGTCCGTCGTAGACAGGTTGCGTGTCTAGTATTTTACATTTGATAAATTTATCTAGAGATACAGAAGTTAAAGAAAAAGTAGAAGATGTAAGCCAAGTGCAATCCTGCAGAGACAAATCCAGTCACATTAAGTGGCTGAGACAGAATAGTATCATTGCTTCCTACATTTTCGGGAGACCTCGACAGGTTCAGCGTGACAGATTTCTTCACTTTTTAGCAGATCTAACAAGAATAACAATATGAACCAAAGCGCAAAGACAAGCCATAGCCAGACTCAAGCTAAAAGGGATTGAACGACAATTTTCTTACAANAACATGGAAAAACGCCCACATGGGGCGATATCGCACCTGTTGAAAAACACTGTTCTAAAGGGACGCACTAATAGCTCTAACGGCTAGTCGAAAGAGAGTTCTCAAGCTCTAAAACAATAAAAATAATTCAATGCAGATATAACAAGTTCGACGAATACGTTCCTTAATGGAAAGTTCTGTCGTATGTCCTTTCAATTTGGCGTATGGAGACAAAACGCACAGTTACAAGTATACTCCCGAGAGATCGCCCCCGAGCTTCTGGAGATTCGAGCTTTTATATCATTCGCGTGGGAAAACTGTCACGTGATTGACTTTTGTTGACGATGAGGGTGCATTCTTCACACCTAACTAAACTTTTCCAGCTAGTTGTTATACAATCGGTGAAATCCGATCTAGTTCAAATTCTTCGGGGTTTTTCCCAGTGCTGTGCGATGTCTATAATTTTAACATCGATGTCAAACATCGATGTTTGCCTAAACATCGATGCTAAATTTCGATGTCGGATTTCACATCGATGTTTGATCGATGCCCATTGGAACAACGATGTTTAATCAAGATAAACTCACACAATTAAAAAAAAAACAAAACTTAATTTTATTTTCAACTTGTATAGTTCAATTACAGTTTCAATGCATACAGTTTTTCAATTGATAATGAATTTAAAACTAGAAGTTTGCGTACATTCCTTAGCTTTAAAGAACTCCGCTTTTTGTTGATAGTATTTCCAGCTTTGGATAATAATCTTTCTGCTGGAACTGAAGTGGCAGGAATGCAAAGCCACACTTCATGGCAAGTTCACATAAATTATAGTTTAAAAATTTCATGGATTTCCACACACCCAAAGCATTACTATTGTGAGGCACAATAGGGTCATCTAAAAAGTTTTAAAATTTGAATTTAAAGTTGCATTTGTGTTAACATTTCTATCTTAATATCAATTTTTCTGGATGACCAATGATCATCATTTTCAAGTTTATTTTCTGCATTATTGTGAAAACTTATTTGAGCCTTAGCAGAGGGAAATTTACAAAGTTCTGCATTTACACATTTAATTGCATTTGCACAACATGCTGGACTTTTAAAATCTAACCTTTTGAACCTTGGGTCTAGTAATGTGGAAACACAATATACTAACTTCGTCTCAGTGGATTTAAAACGGAAATCAAGATTACTAAGCAACTTCTTTCCCACATTTGTTTCTGTAGAAACCTTGCAAAGTGCATTAAACATTAACCGTAAAAATGGGATAATTTTACTGATGGTAGCGTGAGTTTCTGCTGAAATTTCATTAGTTACTTTATAAAAAGGTTTTAGTACTTTAAGCTCATCATTCAAAGCACTTAATTCTCTACCAGAGAGCATGTCGGGTGCCCCTGAAAACTTTTGCAATGTTAGTGTAACAAAATTTTTTAATAGTAGAAATCTCTCAATCATCAAGAAATACGAATTCCATCGAGTCTCAACATGCTAAATTAATTTTAATGTCACAGAACCTTTTTCATTTTGCGATGAGTCAGAGTAAACAGACTAACATAGCAGAGTTGAGGATGAGTTTCAATGAGTGTGAGTTCGTTCACTGTTAAAATAGTGTAAATTTGTAAACATATTTGCAAGAACTTTGTTTCATCGCAATTTCTACGAAATTCCCGGACTGTCCGAGTGAAAACCGAACAGGTGGTAACACTAGGTACAAAGAATGAACTGCATGCATCGATGAATGAAAATTCACATATTGCTAACATCGATTCAGGATCGATGTTTCAAAAACATCGGAAGTTCGATGCATCGACGAACAAAAACATCGATGTATCGATGTGGCATCGATGCATCGCACAGCACTAGTTTTTCCGATGATGTTTACAATTATTAGAAAATTCGAATTTTTAATTGTCCCGCAAAAATTCGCGGGCTCACACTATTGTTTTTTTATTGCATTATATTATACAGTATTTTATTTCTGGTATTATTTGGTGTATAGAATTTATAAACAAAATTACATATTATAAATATTTAAATACCATTTGTATAATTGAATTTTTTACAACTTTTCAGAAATTTTTTCTTCAGAATAAGAAGCGCAATATCGAGCACTTACTATAAAATATATATACGACATAAGTACAGAAAAATGAAAATAACATGTATGAGCGATTCATTGTCCTTTCTATTTTATAAATTGGGAAGAATTATTGCAAGACATCCCTTTTACTTCTTCATTCCACCTGNATTGTAAATATTGTACTGTACAGTAAATAAGCAGCTGATTACGCCTACAGTATTTTTAGTGCAAATACAGGATTGTGTATCAATTGTGTAAATTAATTTTTTACATTTTTACAGAAATATTTTCTTCAGAATAAGAAGAGCTATATCAAACACTTGTTATAAAGTATATATACTACATAAGAACGGAAAAATGAAGATTACTTGTATGAGCGATTCATTGTCCTTTCTATTTCATAAATTGGGAAGAATTATTGCAAGACATCCCTTTTACTTCTTCATTCCACCTGTGCTTCTATCAGTTTTACTTTCGGTAGGGTTACTTAAACTCATAACCATAGAAACTGTGGATTATCTAGTGCAGTCTGATAGAGGAGAAACCTTTCAAAATAAACAATTTATTAACAAGATGTTTCCCATGAACACATCCGAATTCTACGATCTCATGAGAATGACAGATCGTCCACAAGCTCCAATGCTTTACATTAAAAATAAATACGGAAACAATTTAATACAAAAAGACACTTTACTCGATATACAAATCCTGGATGAAATAATTAAAAACATAACGATTATTGTAGATGGAAAAGTAGTAAATTATAGAAACATATGTGGCATAATTAACGAGCAGTGCATGGAAAACCCGATAATAAAGATATTACCAAAGGTGGATGAATTACTTTCAGGAAAAAAAAAGTTAAAATTTCCTCTTCAAATTGATTCCTTGACTTATACATACGAACTGTGGGCAATTAACTTCGGCGGAGTAAAATATGATGTAAACGGATATATTCAGGAAGTAGAATATATGAGACTTATGTATCCCGTTGACGAATCGAATTTCTCTAAAAGACACTGGATTCGTGAATGGCGAAAAGCGTTTTTGCGGAATGTCAACGAATTGGATTTTCATTCGATCGGGATATATCCGTGTCCCTTCTTAGTTTCTGAATTAGACGTGAAAAACCTTGCTGATAAAATTACACCGTTGATGAGTGTCGCAGTTATTGTTGTAACAATTTTCTGTGCAATATCGTATACGACAAACAGTTGGGTAAAGAGTAAACCTTGGATGGGAATTGCTGCAGTTGTGTCTGCTGGATTAGCAATGGTTTCTTCTTTCGGTTTGATGGGTGCGTGTAAAATTGAAAATGTCAACACTAATATTATGTTGCCGTTCCTAATTTTCGGTAAGTGAAAATTCTGAAGTGTAGACTAATATAAAATAATTATTTGTAAAGTTTTAGAAAGAACAGTGAAAATTACGGTATAAAAAGTTTTTATAATACGGTAATTTCTTGACTTTTTTTATTCACTTGGGTTGATAAAAATAATTTGTAGTTTATTTTTTTCAAGTTCCGCAAGGTGCTTCTAATTGTTGATCACTTCGAATTACATACCTCTGTTTTGTTACTAACGAAACTTATAGATTGTTGAAAGACAAAAACATAAGAACTTACAAAAACTTACTTTAGGTTCCTTCCATTAAGTAATCAAAGAAAGGCTCAAATTTTTATTATTAATACTGTGTCCTACATTATTATCGAATACCGTCAAATACCGGTGAAAGCTATACTTTGTTATATTACTGGAAATACTTATTGCGAAAAGTAACACAATACAAAAGACAACACAACAAGCTATTTTTCACGCCAATTTTTCGAAATTGAAAACCTTTTGCTAAATGCGTGCAACATGAATGGGATAAATTTTGCAATATTTCCTTTTAATTTATAAACTTAATTTACCCTTGTTCTATTATTTAACATTTGCGCTTATACATTTGTGCTGGTTTAAATATTAGACGCTTATTCGAATCAGACAAAAATTTCAATCCCGACGCTTGTTTGATGAAAGTCAGTATTTTTCAAGATATAAAGCATTAGGTTTATTACGGTTCGATCGATGATAAATATTACTATACTTGAAAAATAAAGCAGTATTTTATGTCATTCCTGTGTACATAGGTTTATTTACTTACGCCATTACTTAATTTCTTGACTATAGAAAGTAAAATCTATAAGTTCAATGTACTGAAGTACGTGAAAACATTCTTTGAGATATGTAAAAAAAAAAATAATATTCAGGTTAACAGGACTCATGCAAAATATTCAATGGAGATTTTACGAAAGAAAAAATAATCAAATGATAATTAAATAATAATTTAAAAAAATTTTTGAAATTACTTACAAATATATAAAATTTTTTATATAGTTTTGACAGTGTTGTAGAAATTTTGAACAAATGTTTCATATTGCAATATTTCATACATTTTATGAAACATTAAAATAGTAGTTTTATATCATTTCTAGCTACAGAGATTGACGACGCCTTCGTGATAGTAGCAAATTGGAGAATTACAGATGTTGAAGAAAGCGTGGAAGAACGAATGGGGAAAACTTATTCCAAATCTGCAGTTTCTATTACCATAACAACTTTAACAAATATTTTATCTTTCTGCATAGCGATGACTGCAGAGTTTCCTGCTGTGAGGATCTTCTGTTATTACGCTACGACTTGCGTGTGCTTTACTTATTTGTATCAGATTACGTTTTTTGGATCGTGCTTAGCACTAAGTGGATACAGAGAAGAACGTCGTCTTAATGCATTTACCTTTAGAGTTACAAAAGGTAAGACATTTTAATGTTCTTTACCACATAACTTATAAAAATTTTTGGATTTCTTAATTATAGTTTGCGTAATATAACTTCAATCGTTATTGTACAATATCAGATTTACAATAAGTTGATCTAGCAATATATTGTCATCTATAACCTACAAAATGAAAATAAAGTAACGTTTTCCATTACGCCTATTATTTATAGCAAAACAATTAATTAGAAATAAAATTTAGTGATATTTTCTTTTCGATGTATCATCAAAATATACTTATCAATTACGTCGGATTTTAATAGTTTTTAACTAAAGGAAATCTTTATTCAAATTATGCATTTAATAAATGTATGTGTGTTTTTATTATTTCTTTTTGCTATTGATAAAATGTTTAATTTTCACAATATTTTATTTACAGAAAGCTCCAACGAGCACGATTTAGAAGAGAAAAACGAATTCGTTTTTATGAAGTTCTTCAGAGATTATGTCGCCGAAATTCTTTCTCGTCCTTTTGTCAAACTGGTCGTTATTTTATTATACATAATTAATCTTTCAATAGGTATTTGGGGAGTAACATTTTTACAAGAAGGCATCAACTTTTCTACACTTTATCCAACACATTCGAAAGTAGCAAAAGCATATCAAATATATTACCAATATTTCACGGAATTTGCGCATCCTGTTCAAATTGTCATCAACACAACATTAGATTATTCCCAAGTAGACGTTCAGAAATCGATAGAAAATTTAATGACGAAATTTCAATCCCACCCAAACGTCGCCGGTTCGGAATTCGAAGTTTCCTGGTTGAAATATTACAAAGAGTTTCAGAATCATCCGGTATCGACATTTTCCATGAGTATTTACGATATGACACAAAAACAAGATTTTATTGACGGACTTCTCCATGTGTTTTTGAGACTTAAAGCAGCCAAACAATTTTCGACTGACATAAACTTTAATAACAATTACACAGATATTATCCGAAGTCGTTTTTTTGTTTTAACGAAAAATATGTTTGAGAAAGATATTGATAGTACCGTATTAACCGATCTAAAAAAAATAGCAAAAGAATCTGATATACCAATTATTGTCCATTCTTGTTTTTTTCCTATGGTAGAACAAATTGTTATTACCAAACAAATTACTCTTCAGTTATTTTGGATAACATCTCTGTTAGTATTTATTGTTTTTGTTTCATTTGTTCCGCACGTTATTTGCGCATTAGTTGTTGCATTCTCGGTTGTTTCAATAATTGTCGAAACAATTGGATTCATGTCAATCTGGGGTGTCAATCTTGACGTCTTTTCCATGATGGTTATGATACTTTGTAACGGATTTTGTATTAATTATCCGGCTCACGTGTGTTATGCGTTTTTGACTTCTTCGCATTCTGGAGCCAAAGATAAGCTGAAGGAATCACTTTATCACGTTGGGTTTCCTATATTCCAAGGTTCGCTGTCTGCAATTTTCGTAATATTAGTATTTCTATATATCAATATGTACATATACACAACGTTCGTAATAATCGTTACTATTATATCTTTAGAAACGTTGGTCCATGCCGTGTTTTTTATTCCCGTATTTCTTAGTATAGTGGCCTTTCCATTTAAGAAAAAAAGTGAGTCTAATTCTGCTGAAACAGAATACGATATTATTCGTAGTTTTAAGAGTTAGAAGTGAAAGTATGAGCATGTATTGTTATAAATTTCAACTAATATGTGAAAAGTGGGGCCAATGGATCTATTATAACGTTTTTCGAAACTTTCGAATAATGCATATAGAAATGTGGAATTTGGTTGAGTAGCAGAGAGTCATAGTGTGTTTTTTTTATGTTAATGTTTTTCGATTGAAGCGTGGGTACTCATACATATGAAGAATTCAACAGGTCAGCTAATAAACTGTTGTAGCATTACAACTTATAATAACTGGAATTGACACCATAAAAATTTCGCTTGACATTTATAAGTCTAAATTTCTGAACACTGCGCAATATATTCTTTATGTTTTGTGACAAACTACAGGCACGTTACAGAACACCATAAGCTATCTTCTGGTTAAAATGTAAACTTTTCAACAATGATATGTTCAGGAACAGATGGATAGATATTCAAGGGGCAATAGGTCCCTGACTTTATAATGCTGTTAGTGGGATGCAGCGCGAACATTCTTTACGTATTCAAATGTCCAATATATATTAATGAAACTTAAGTTAANATAAGAAATTCTATTTGTATTTATTTATTTTTGATACTACCCGCTTTGTGACTACTAATTTAAGTCGTTAATCGAACTTACTATGATTTAGGTCTTCTAGAGGAACTTTCGACACGTTTGGAAGAGGCAATCCATCGTGCTGGTCCCTAAAACGATCAGCTGATTCATATTATTCGGCCGTCATGCTATTTTACTTACCACGAATTATATTAAAATATTTATATAAAATCTTACATAAGTTAATTTAGAAAAATGAAGAAGATAAACATGGAAATTGTCAACTACCGAAAGTATGTATCCAAATTTGCATAAATTACCTTTCATTATATAAAATACTAGCTGTTACCCGCTACTTCGCCCGCGGAGGTTTTGCAAGCAAACCCCATTTACATTCAATATTTCAATACCCATAGTAATTGTTATATGACACCTACCGCTGAGAATGACGAGAATTGCCGAGAATCAAACGAGCTACTTTCAATTTGATCAATTTTCTGGAACGTTTACAATCGTTCTATAATCGAACCAATATACAATAACATATTCGAATCTAAAACGGTTCGAACATTTTTAAAATCGAAATAGATAAAAATATTTATAACAATGTTTGAATAGTTGTCAATTTAATACACCCAAGTACTCGATGAAGACTTAAACCTTTCCCTCTCCCCCCGCGAGGGAATTTCGAAAAATCCCTTCTTGGTGTGCGTTTTCATGACGTACCCTAATTGTGTACCAAATTTCATTTCTTTAGGTTCAGCGGTTTGCTCTGGGCGATGATGAATCAGTGACTCAGTCAGTCAGTCAAGACAAGTAATTTTATACATTTAGATAGAATGTTTAAATGAAATTCTAATAATTTTAATATCAAATATAATTGGACACTCTAAAGAAAATATTTGATAATTCTGGACTTAGTTTTCTCTGGACATTACAGGAACGAAATATATAGAAAGGTACTGTAGTTGCCGATAATTATAAAATCTTATTGTGAACACAGTATACAGAGGGATTGGTGTGAAACAGAACACAATGTTCATTGTAAATTATATTTTTCTATTAAGTCTTATTTTTACACAGAATGGTATCTTAAACCAAATATTAATTACTTTGTTAAATGTACTGTAATACAATGAAAATATTTGATAATTCTGGACTTAGTTTTCTCTGGACATTACAGGAACGAAACGTATAGAAAGGTACTGTAGTTGCCGATAATTATAAAATCTTATTGTTAACACAGTATACAGAGGGATTGGTGTGAGGCAGAACACAATGTTCATTATTAAGTCTTATTTTTACACAGAATGGTATCTTAAATGAAATATTAATTACTTTGTTAAATGTACTGTAATACAATTAAGATTTAATCGAAGTTCTATACTATTATTTAATAAGAAAATCTACATTAATCTTAAGAAAAAATGTCCATATTGTACTATAAGTCAAGATAGGACTTGGAAACATCATTTTTGTAACAGATATAATGATTGTAGACAATAATGATATGATATATCTCAACTTTTACGATAGGAAGATATTATTGCTTTAACGAACAAATCGGATAACGAACACCTCACAGAAAAACACAAGAAGTACCGTAAAGTAATAAATACCGATTGGTCTTCTCTTGTCTTTAAGCAACAATTCAAAACTTTTCGGAGCGTGGGAGACGTCGACATCGACGCTAAACCCGGTATACACTGATCGGATAGTATTCCTCTGAACTTTGAAACTCTCACTCGTAATTCCAGCCTTTTACTTTTCTGACAGAAACAATTCTTTTATTCTTTTATAGTATTAGCGAGACTGTCGGGCGGCACTCGTTAAGTTTTGTGTCGGGTTTTATTTTCGAAAGGTGAGACCTGAAATGGATCTGACGACAGAAGGACACGAAGAAAGTCGGCGAGATATGTTTTCTTCTGAAAAAAGAGAATTAATACCGATATCTGCTACTAAAGGTCTTGTTAAGAATTTCATTTCTTAACAAATCACTTGTTTTAATTTATGGTATCGTTGCCAAAAGACGTTTTTTAAACTAATTCACATTTTTTTACACGGGTGAAGCCATAAATAAAAATTCGTGTATGTCAGTGAAGTTTTGTGTATTTATGGACTATCAATAAGGGCTGAAACGATAGAGAGGTAAGACAAAATACAAATTGTATTCTTCAAAATGTTTTTACTGTCTAAATTACGGTCGGCCATTTTTAACAATGCATTCTTGTATACTTTATCCTTGTTTTTTCTTGTACATATTCAACCATTATAAATACGACATAATTATTTCTAATATCCTTGTACATCGTACACTTAACGAATGCTTAACAAAAAAAAAAATTCAACACAAACTGCAAAAAAAAAATTAAATTAAATTAAATTAAATTTTATTTACAATGATTAGTTTAAACTATTCAAACATAAAATTAAATGTAAATTAATTATAAGTAAAATTAACAAAATCAAATAACAAATTCTATGAAAGAATTGCTTTTGAATATATTCATTGATCAGTCAAGTCTGGACTAATTCTGGCCACGGGACACCATCAAAATACATGTGTTTACTGATGCCCGTTTCCGAAAGACTTTTATTTGAATCCTAAAATGATCAAGAAAAATGATTAGCTGCGGTAATATTACTCGAGAAATATTTTTATCTCTAAGTAAATGCAATAAAATAAGAAGTAATAAATCAATAGCAAAAAATTATTTAACACGATTAAATAATTGCAAATACATTCAGAACTTATTATAGAAAAAGCGTTAATTTGTGTTGATAAACGAACGAACGTTTCTCTTATTAACTGTATAAAAGTTATGAAATTTTCTGAAACGAAACCAAAATTCTTTTGGGTTTCGTTCAAACTGACAGAAAGAAAATTAATCAATAAAAATTTTCTAGTTCGACAGAAAATAGGATATTGTATTATGCACTACTTACTGTGCAGAGACCGAAATCGATTAACTGTGTTCCTTTGGTCTTATCAAGCATGATGTTACTGAAGCTTATGTCTCTATGAATTATTCCTGTCGTAGATAAAAAGAAATTTTATGATACGCTCCTATTAGTTGACGAAACGAATGAATAAATAGATTTATAAAGTCATCCTTATTATGAATAAACATAATGGCCGAGGCTACTTGCGAAGCAATCAATTTGGCTTGGATTTCTAGAAAGCGTCCATTAGTTTATAAATAATTAGCCAAGTCCTGTCCCTCTACGTAGTCCAAGACGAAACAGAAACTAAAATAGAGAATTATTACTTTATACAACCATAAAGTGTTAGCAATTATTCGAATGTAAAATTTACCTCGTATTTGTTTTGAAACAACCAAATATTCTGTAAGTTTCTTTAAGCAGAATTCTGTAAGCAAAAATTCTATAAGCAAAAATTTTGTAAGCATAATTCTGTAAATTTTCCCTTTTTCTTGGGTTTCGTTTCTTGGAATTGTGCCTCCTTTTTCTTAAAAGGGTTACTCTTCGGTTCAAGAAACTTGTCGTCAATCTAAGAAAAGTGAAAAACAAAAATCGTTGTGGCATTTGGCATTATCGGAAGATTATTTATAAAATCATATGAAATCGTTATTAATTCAATCTTAGTAAGAAATAACTTTGATTTTCGTAGAGAGAGTAATGACTTACATTTATGGGATAATCTTTATCTTGCTGACCATTTAGTTCAGCTTTTTCTTCTCTCCCGTAAAGAAATTTGATTATTTCGTAATTGGTATTAAATAAATCGCAATTATAAATGTAATTTATGACGGAATTTACTTTTTTCTCTTCTCTTTCTCACTCCACATTCGCAAAAAAAACTTTTGAACAGAGCGCATCTTTTTCGCAAAGCTATTTAAACATTAGAATATTGTCAAATGCGGCGTATTGTTGTAGTTCTTTGTTTTGAAATTACATTTCGTATTAAATGACGTGATGAAATATCTCAACTTTTATTTCCGGTATGAAAATGAACTTTTTGAAGAATTATTTACGAAATATTATCGTTTTTTTTAAAGATTCATTTTTCTTGCATTGTTATTAATGAAAAAAGAAGGGATATTAATTATAATAAAATTTCATGAGTATTATTCCCGGAAAATGTCTAGAATAAACACTAATATAGATATTTTACATAAATTTTTAATTTCTTCGGATCCTCTCATTATACAAATTTTAGATCACTTGGTATGAAGAAAAATTACTAAAAGCAGCAAGTGTGACCGTAATACAAGATGACTGAGTAAAACTCCTAATGTGATTCCGATATGTAAATTTTTAGTTGATACGACGTGTAATTAAAAAATTTTTATTATAGAAATGAATTGCTCCACCCTACATGATCATGACCTGCTATAATCGTCGCATTATCCACCGTGCGACAGTCTTAGAATGGCATCCAAGCCAGGTTGTGGTTAATAGGCTTGGGGGGATCTCACCAATTACAAATTTATTAATTAAAAATCTTGAAAAAGAGAGAAAAGCAATCCACATTATACGGATTCTTTAACCCCCACAAACAGAAAAACCATGATTAATAAAAACGCAAGACTGTGTGTATATGTATTTTTAATATAACATATAAATAAACTTAGTAAATAAGTATGTATTTTTTTATTTTTGAGGGTCTCCAGAAGGAATTAATCAAATTCCCATAAAAACCTGTTAAATCGATAATTGGTTAACGAACAATTCGGATAGCCAACAAAGTCTTGGAACGGATTATGTTCGTTAACCGATCACCCACTGTATTATCATTCTCATATCTTTTTCCATTTTTCCGTTTCTTTTGTTCATTCATAATCGCTATTGTTGTCAGAAAGTATCTGAAGTTTCAAAGAAAATGGCCGATACTGTTTACGATTCTTCTCTTAATTATAATAAATACTGGACTGACCTTTGCATTTCGTTTCGTCTCTCATATTTATCAAGTTCTACCCAGATTTTCAGGATTCAATATGTTTTACGTAGATATTCCTTTTATTCTTACTATTTCTAGTGTGGCATTCACATATATTCACTTACTTTGGTGTTTAATCAATTAAGATTATGAATTTATGTGTTAAGCTACGTTTAGACAGGAGCACCTAACGTAACATAAGCGACGTAACGTGACATTGCAAAAATAAACAAATGAATACACCAAAAACAGAAAAGTGAGGTACTTTTCGTCCATTAGTTTGCATTTAACAAAATCCATTAGAAAACAAACAGTAAAAAATACTTTAAATTTTCTGTTACAACTGGATTTTCCGTGGTGTTTTTTACCAATAAAAACAACGTTTCAGTTTCTTTCCTTACACGCCGATAAATAAGGATGGATCCTGACAAATGGGTAAGATGAAACCCCAAAGACTCCAGGATTATTTACTCAGATTCGATCCATGGTCACCCAGAATGGCAGACTAATAGTTTAACCGCCTGTTTCATTTGAACGTAGAAAAGAATTTTCGAATCAAGTGAATTTTTAGCATTTATTGAAATATGAAATTAAAAACAGAATGCAATTTCTAATTATCTGAAATCAATTAATCCGTTGGACATGTTTTATTCTGATGGAATAATGTAACGTAACGCATAGACAATCTGCCAATCTGCCAAGGAGGGATACCTCACGGAAGGACTTTCTGTTGGAATCTTACCCCCTATTTACGTGTTAGATACGTGAAGAAAATCTATACAATTTCACGTAATCAGCCCGTTTTGTGAGGCTAGAACCTGCGACTGAATATTAATGGTTCTACCTGACTGCTTTTAAAGTTTTACTGAATTTTTATGAAAATTTAAAAATTTTCATTCGATTATAGTCGTTACTGCGATCTGCAATTATTTTTCACTTCAGTAAATTAAATAACTTACTACTTTTTTTTATTTTCAAAGAATGCACTTAACGCGAGAGTAAATTCAATATCGAAGAGTATTAAATCTATTGCCAACATTCCTCACATTTTACGATTGATTTTGCACTCAGTGTTATGAATTTCGAATGAAACGAATAAACTCGATGATACAATAAAAACTATTGATCATTTTTATTGCAATACACAAGTAACAATTGATTTATTTAGGAGAGTGTCATGTTACTGAGACAGGTTTGTGACAGACTTTCTCGTTTACAATTTCTGTGATTAAGTGATTTTCCAAAGGTAAAGACAACCCAACACATCTTTCAGAATTTTATTAATTGAATATGATAAACAGCATTATGATGGTGAAGAAAAATTCAGAATTCTTTCACAAAAATTCATTTTATAGAGAAACTTGGAGCCCATTACTTAAATCAATGAAGTATTCTGGATTAAATTTATGTAGAAGAAATATAACTAGATATGGCACCTTCATAATTATAGTAGGTAAATTATATCTGGTTTATTATACATATTTTCTCATCAAAATTTTGATTAATTATTTCTCAATCGGGAATTTATTATCCACTGTTTTCTACCAGATGTGCGCAATAATTACCTTCGTTTCCATCTACGTTTTCCATTATAAAAAGAATAAAATCTGTCGTAATCTATTGAAATTATTTAAAACGAAGACAGTACAAACGACGAATGGAGTAAATCGAAAATCAATTAGAATTAAAGTTATTTTTATCTGGATATGTTTAATTGTATATTGTATTTTGACTCTTATAACTGAATACGACATTAGAAGCAAGAAAAAACCAGATGATTCCTTAAGTCATATAGCAACACAAGTAAGCGAAGAGGTGCTTATAAATGGGTTATACTATGCTTTAATTTCCATCCCACAATTGTGGTTAATTCTGCTTTTCACTTGTATATGTAATGAGTTAGAAAGCGCATTCTTGCATTTAAGTAAAAGAATTAAAATGAATAGAAATAAATCTACAGAGATTATTTTTATTCTCAGAACATATCTGACTATCGTGAACATTTGTAATAAATTAGGAGCGGCTTATTCCTTATTGTTACTTCTCCTGACTAGTTTAATTTGTTTCATCCTGATCTTCAATTTCCATCTATTGTTAACCGCTCCACCGTTGAGATTACTTCAGTATGCAGTGATTTTTACTATAGAATCCGTCATTCCGTTCTTTTACTTTATTGATTTATGTGTATCGAGTTCAAGAATGACTGATGCTGCAAGAAACGTGTTAAATGACGTTTATATAGTGTCATTTGAGAGTAATTTCATGCGAAACATTACATTTCAATTTACTCTTCATGCCAATTGCGTGCAAGAATTGCCACGTTTTACAGCTTACGGATTTTTTCACGTAGACAAGAAGCTTATTGTTTCTATTTTAAGTACAATTGTGACGTATTCGCTCATTGTAAACCAGTTGTAAGAAGTTTCAGAGACCCTTCTTTGTACCGAATAATAATAATTTTATACTTATGACGTCTTAAACTCTTGTGATAGTTGAAGTTCTAACCTGTAATTTTCTTATTTCTTATGTTTGATTTATTGGTAATGTAATAATGTAACAATTTGAGAAGAGGAAATTTATTATTGAAGAGAAAGTAACACAGAAAAGATTGTGTCTACCATTTCTTCCTTCTCTCCTACGCTTTGAAGTTTGAAAATATCTCAAGGTTTTTATTGATAGTAATCAATAATTATAATAAATTTTTGAAATATTAAAATATTTTTTTGCGTAGCCCAATATTTCACAAATAAATATAAACATAGATAAAAGTAGTAGTGATTTAAGCTATACTAATCACAAATCTTAATTAAATTAACTTTATGTTAAAATTAATGCGAAGTTTAATATATACCATTTAATTATTAATGGAAATTTTAATAGTGTTTGATATTTTCAATTATTTTTAAAAACTTATTTCAATTTTCTTTCAATAAACTCATCTCTGACCTAGAAAATTAAGCTTTTCTGCTTTATTTTAATAATTAATAATATAAAAGTTACTTCTTAATTACATTTCATAACAGATAAAGCCAAACATAATCTTAACTTTGTTCTAATGTTTCTTCATGTTTCTTAAACGATTTTCGCCAAGAAATTATGCAAATATTTGCTGGATTTTTATGTATTGTAAAAATGCTATCACATGTAGTCATTTTAAAATTTATTACAGATATTTTATTACCGAGGAAAAATTATTTAAAATTCATACGGATATTGAATTACAGTAGGCTCCCCTATAAAACGGGTTCATATACAGAAATGCGGATTCGTATATCGAGACAAAAAATTGCGACCGTATTCGTACAAACACGCTAAAAAAAAACCTCGTAAAATGCGGTAAAACATCATCTCCGACTCGTGTCGCGACAGGATTGGTTAAATCTAGACCAATAGCGAATACTGCACAAACCGTTGAGTTTAAACGAGCAGCAGTCCTACTAAAAACCA